GGGTCTTTCTGTGCAGAGTTTGCATGTTCTCCTTGTGCTTGCGTGGGTTTTCTCTGGGTACTCCGGTTTCCCACACACACCCAAAAACACGTACAATAGGTTGCCTTCAGGCCCAGGCCTCCCTTGATAAATAGATCTGCAATCTTAATGGGACTTGCCTGGTTAAATAATGGTAAATAAATAAAATTGTAAATGGTATTTCAGTTTTAATAAAAGCACCATCTTTCTTTCTGGGTCTGTGCGCTGTCTTGCTGTCGTCATTTCTGTCCAATGGGATCAATGATTGTCACCTGCGTGGCTTTATTTATAAATTATAGTCCACTTGCAAAAAGCACAATGTGCATTCAAACCACACCAAAAAAATAAAAAATAAAAATAAAAGGACTTTCCTGGTGTGAATACACCTTCAGAAAAAAATCTTGATAAGTAACTAATCAGACATTGCTTTTAGGTTATGGTTCGATATAATTATTGTTTTTTTTGAACTAGTTAAGCTGGCCTTGACAGAAGGGACGTTAACCTAACATTTGACTGCACAACCTTTTGAGACAATCACTGAAATCAACACATTTTTGGAACATTTTGGGACTTCTGCTCCTGTTGACAAGTGTCGACGCACTCCTGTGTGTGTTTTGGGTCGTCTTTCCTTTTGGAGGATACATGACCTGCAACTGTCCAAGCTCTCTGAACCTTGGCAGCACATTTCGCTCCAGAGGGCCTTGATAGTCTTGAGATTTTATTGTACCCTGCACAGATTCAAGACACCTTCTTCCAGATTCAGCAAAGCAGCTCCAGAACATAAAACTCTAAGCTGAAATATACAGATGTTCACAGTCAGTGTGCATTGATGTCACTAGTGTTTTAAAAAAGAGGAAAGATTTTTTTTTGCCTTGAATTAATTTTTTTTTAACAAATTGATTGACACCAGTCATCTGCTTTACTTCGGAAAACCTATCTTGAATTTAGCAAAAATGCAAAGTCATTATTGAGCTTTACTGAAGAACCTAAATTATTTTTCTTTACAGGGTGAAAAGGGTGAAATAGGACCAAAAGGAGAACCAGGACTTATAGTGAGTATTTCATTAAATAAACATGTAYTATTTATAGTTAGGGAGCTAAAATMTTTGGCTCTGATTCATGAATGGTTAAAGTTTTGTAACTATATTATGTCTGACACATTTCTGTAGGTAAAAACAAAACATTTTTGTTTCTTCACAAATAAAAAAAGAAGGCAGATTTATAAACCTTATTTATCCAATGCCAGGAATCCTGACTCCTCAGAAAAGCATCATGCAGCTGCGTTATGTTAACATGGGCTTTTTGAAGCTCCACGTTTTCTTATTGTAAAAGTCAGCATTTCCAGATGTGTTTTCCAACAGCATTTCAGACGTTTTGGCCCTTTTAAAGATTGGAGAGCCTTTAATCAGAACAGTTTTTTATTTCTCGCAGAAATAAGCTTTTATCTTCACTTTTGTCTCCTGTGTCTGGTTTTACACAAATGACATTCTTCTTTACTGATGTCAGGTTTTAGTGTGTGAGGCTGAGTTAAATACRCTGAGGAGTGGGTGAATGAAAGTAGACACTAGTTTGATTTCATGTAGTTCAGTTAAATGCTGCTTTTCTTCTTGCTGTACCTTGTTTGTGTGACGTAAATCAGCAGACCCATTTAAAGAGATGTATTATTATAAAAATCCTGCTTTTAGCATCTTTCTAACCTAAGCCTAAAGATTATAATGTTTACTAAAACCCATATAAATGGATTTAATTTGGAGTTTAATCTTTTAAATGTTGATTTTTCTTTTTGAAGGGCAAGACTGGTGGTCCAGGAGAAAGAGGCCCTTCTGGAAAGCCTGTAAGTAATGTTCAACTTGAAGCTATTATTTTGGCTAAATAACATGTTTTTCAGGTCTTTGAGTATAATTTTCACAAGCTAGATCACTAGAAGTGCAGTAGGAAATATACATATATATACTTGTTGTGATCCACAATAGAGAATTAGAATATTTTTCTGTAAAGAAATTAGGAGAAATTTTATTTTTTCAAGAWAAAAACTGGTGCACTTCTGAGTTCAACATCTCTTATTCAAGTCGTTTTAGTAAATTAGGAAATTCCTGACAATCTCATTAAGAATAACTTTAACAGGTAAACTACTGTACTAAATTATCTCAGTCCAGTTACTTGTGTTAAAAAAAAGAAAATAAATGTATTCCAATAAAAGAATAAAATGTAGGAAAAAAATACATTAGAGACCAACTTTGATTCAACATTGCAAACTTTTGGTAGCTTTAAAG